AGATTGTGTTGATAGCAATAATTAAAAGAGTAAAATATATTTTACGGATTTAATTCAACGGAACATCTGCTTTAGGCTATAATTCTTTTTTTCAGGTTCAAGTTTTAGAACAAAATGTTTGAGAGAAAGCTGTTTTATTTTATTGGAATTAGTACAAACATTCTTGTTGTTAAAGAACAATAAAACAAAACGTACAATAAGTCGTTTGGTGTTTTTTCAGGAAATATAGAAAATTTCTCCACGAACATAATTTTCTTTATTTCCGGAAGCTTTCTACTCACCTACTAGAACCTTCTACGGCTATAGTAATACATAACTTTAGGAAAAGAGGAGCGGCTGAGTTACCCTCTCAACTCCAGTATACTGAAGACAGTACACATTTCAGCTTCTACATAAATTCGCATAAATCTGTGACCTCCCCATCTGAACTGAGTTTTTGGTCCAAAATAATGAGAGAATAAACAGATAAAGATATCAATATAAATCTGCTATGTGAAGATAAAAAAAGTTGAAAACAGAAGATTGTTTATTTGTTTTGAATTTCGCGCAAAGCTACACGAGTGCTATCTGCGCTAGCCGTCCATAATTTAGTAGTGCAAGACTAGAGGGAAGGCAGCTAGTCATCACCACCCACCACCAACTCTTGTACCAACGATAACAATATAAGTTAGGGGTAAAAAATAGGTCATATGAGTTAGTCGTTAAATAGCTAAGAACCATATAATACTCGGATTCACAGTCTGATCACGCTTTTGTACTACCCTGATCGTAATTTCCAAGTTCAATTAATTTAAATACAGTCTTAGGTTTTAAAATCGATTGTTTATTCTCATTCTACAATAGTCTGCTGATAGTATGTACATCGACATACGAAGTTAGGCTTATTCGAATAATGATGAACCTTTATTCTATCCATAAGGCGTTGTTTATTATGTGTGTATCTTAGAGTAAAATTAATTTTTACCGTATTTAGATCGGTGTGGTCTTGTAGTTTAGTACAGTAAGTTTAATGGTTTTATTATTTACTTTTGGGTAGTTTCATTTAAACTTTCCTCCTACACTGGCTGATGTGAACATAAGGTATAGTTTGGGTTCCAAACATGAACAAGGTTATAAAACAGTATACACAAAAAGTTCAAGAACAGAAAAAACTTCAGATGTTGAAGAAAGTGTCAACAAATGATGGCTAGATCAGAACATTTTCATTTTATTCAAGGTCTAATTCAAATCCTTAAATAAAAAAAATAATCAGTTTTTAAGGTTGGTCTTTCTCTTTGTTGTTACGAATCTAATTTGTCTGGGAGAACTACTAATAAAATAAATTTATACAACCAGCTGTGTGTATATATATATAAATATTAGTTCTGCATGGTATGCTGAGCCACGTATATACAATCTAATTATGACAGGATGTACGTACACACACACACTTTATACGTTGAAGCATGAACGTCGAGAGCCAGCACGTGCCCCCTTTCTCTCTCTTTTTTTTAACATTTTCAAGAATTTATTAAAAAGA